CCCATATAAAGGAACATAGAAAGCAATTCTTTTGTCCCACGTCTTCTTAAATTTTTGCTCTCAGATTTTGGATTTCCTTGTTCAAGAGTTTTCTTCATAATAACAAAATGACAAGACTGTTTCATTGCTCTTCGCATGATGAACAAATCAATAAATTTGGCCTTGCTTAAAATATGAATTAGTTTTATGTTTTTTATATGGTAGTGAAGGTTCACTGTCAGGTACGTACATATAAAAAGGCACTTTAGCCTTGAAAAAAAATATTTAAATTTAAAAGTATATATAAGAAAAGACACGCGGCAACAGTGCAGAAAGCCATGCTAGCATACAGCGCAAAACATTTATGACATTTATGTGCGATAGACTTACCTCCACGTGGTGCACCCTGGGCAACGTATTCTCATACGGCAAAAAAGTCTATTAACTGGCAGTTGACTTCTCACTTCAAACTACCATCACCCCACTGTATGCCATATTCGAACACTTTCACAGTACTCACATCAGCTTCTTTCTACCGTTGTGTCCATCTCTCTTACATTTTTTAAACACACATCTCTTCCACCCACCCTCTCGACTTTTTTCACTTTGATGTTTGCTCCCCTCTGTGAAGCCTGAAGTCAACTTAAGGGCTAATGATAAGTAACAAAACGCCTGCCATTTTATATAAATAACTAAATATTGATCATGCAAAGAGTGCTTTAATTAGTCTCAAAATATTTCATAACTAATAAGGAGTAATGTAAATGTGTGTCGAGGATCAATCCACATGGAATACATTTACTCCATGCTTGGGCTACATCAGTCACATGACATTGATGAATTATTTTTTCACTTTTCCTCATAGCCGTTTGTTGTCGTTACAACAATCATTTCACGAAACGCCTTACGTTAAACCTATTTAAGCTAAAAGCACCCAGAAGTCAAAATGTTAAAAGCAAGATATTATAGGTCAAAGTAATAAATCAGATTTTGTCGATTTATATGGCATTCTAATTTTTATTGTACTTATGGGGGCGGAACTGACAAGAAAATGTTAAATCTTAGATAGGCGCTGCAAAATAACGCACAAATTGATCAGTTTGGCATATGGCACAAGAGGTCTGTGGAGTAATATTCAATTCCCTTCCAACATGTAATCTTCACTTTGATCAGCTTTTCTGCAATATAACGTGAACAATCATATTTATGTCAAAGGTGTGCGTTGGCCAGAGGCATTTTTCGGCATGGAAAATTTGAAGGTCAAGAAAAGCACAGCGAAAATTCCCATTGGTTCATTTTCAATAATCCAAAGCTCTCCAATTGGCTAAGCATTCTAATTGGATTAAGAAGTATTCGGTGAATTATGGACATGAAGGTCGACATTTAGTCTATCAAGTGCCTATTCAGAAGCACCATCTTCACTAAAGTACAATATTGACAAGCTGCATTAGTCCCGAGAAAGAGAAAGTTATCACTTTCCACTCTGAAAGGTACATTTCTGGTTTTTAAAGGTATGGGAAGTAAGCATCGCAATCTCTCCCCATTTCCTCCTAACTACATTGCTATTACATTTCGACCAACTGATGAGTTGTGGATATGCCAAGGTCCCCCAAATTTCATTGAATTTGTCCACTCACTGTTGCGTTATATTTGGCCTAAATATGAACACCAAGAGCGTCATTGTCATGCTCCAGAAAAAAGGAAACAAAGAAAGGAGACACAATTACGATCAACTCTCAAAAATTCGGTGTTTCGAATCCCCGCAAATCCTTTCAATCTTTTGCCAAATCATCAGTCAACAGAAACATCTGAGTCTACTTACAAATTTATTTCCTTGTTAGTAGCCTTTCTATACTCCATGGACTATGAAATCGTTTCTGCAGGTCATTTTATCCGGGGTACTGAGGCCAGTACGTGTCTTTTTCGTTGCACCATCGATTATGATTCACTAGCGAGTAAAAACAGCCTGAAGAAAGATTGCCAAATTCACACGCTCGGGTCTTTCACTCCCTTCTCTGTCAAACAAATGAACGCCGTTGACTTCGAGTTCGCCAAAAAAATGCTTGTTGTTGGGTTTGAAGGATGGAACCGTCTTTATTTTATCAACATCACCCATAAGTTGGCCACAGATCTAGTCAGTGAACTTGGATCGGTAAGGCATATTAAATTAAATGATTTTTGTTCACCTTCTTATTCAGAAAAATGAAAATAAACATTTCTTAATCACTTTTTATTTTGTAAAAACGCGAATTCGGTTGACTTAAGCCATGGATGATATTTTTTTGTTGATTAATTGAGTGTTTCCATGATCTTTGAGAGGTGATCTGATGTACATGCGATTAGACGGTCTGTCTAAGTAATTACTATTCTAAAAATTGCAAAGCCAACTAAAAAGCATTAACTAAGACAATCGTAAAAAATCTTGAAATATAGGTTTGGAAAGTATTTGTAAAATTTAAAGTTTCAAGTGAACATAAATGAATATTTTTAAAATATCACTTAAAGCAATAGGCGTGTTCGAATTCTGTTAAAACAATTACATCTCTATAAATACACGTCTAATATATACATATACATGTCTTTGATTTATTCTCAGTTTTATGTAAAAAATTTTCGTCAATTTTGAAAGTAATCAATTGCTCATTGTTATAAAAGTAAGGAAAAAATTCATTAATGTCACTGTAACCCGCATATTTAATTGGCAATCAATCTTGCAAGCCCTGTGGCTAAAATTCATTTTGGATTTTTCTCAAATTAAGCAAAAATATGCGCGAATTGGCACAATATTTGCATGTTGTTGCCGCAAGCTGAAAATGCATATCTTCGGAACGATCTTGTACAGTAGATTAGAAGCCTTCTACATTGCACTATTTTATTCCTGAGTGGGAATGCTAACAAGCGGTTCCGAAATCAAATCTTCAGTTGAGACAATCAATTTAAAACAAAATTTTGAAATTTAGGTTAGTTAACATGCCTATGAAAAAGGTATAAGAGTAAACACAAGAAATTCTCAACTTTTAAGGGTGTGAATTTGTTTAACATTGCTGAAGAAAACCACCATTTATATGTTTAATTGAATACCGCAACCGTTATTATCGATTTTTTTTAATTTATCTATGTTGGTGAATAAAAATTTTTTCCCATACCCATAGCTATAATGTCATTCTTGATATGAGGAATTAATTTGATGATAGCTTATTTATAACATATTGTTGTCCAACTATCCGTAAAAAGGTTCTCACTAAAGAACAAACTGTTATTTTTCTAGCAATTCATTTAATCTGAGTAGTGTTCAAGAGGACACATCTGAACCTCTGTTTTATGTAACTATCTTCCTTCCAAGCATAGAAATTCATTTTATTCTTTAAATTATACATGGAATCAAATGCAATGTGTTTGAAAAACACATTTTAATTCTCGTTTTGCTTCTATGAAAGGCGTGGAATGTTAACTATGTTGACAGTTACCAGAAATACAATTGGCGATTAACTTCTCTATGTATTGGAAAGAAAATATTAATTTCATTTTGAACAGTCGATGTCAACCAAAAAATTCCAATTATCTATGATTATAAATGAATCTAAAATAATTTTTCCCCTCAATTGGGGTATTAGAAAAATGCAAACACACTTTTGATATTGATTTGCATCGCCAATTTCAGTTAAAATGGATCTTTTAACAGGTAAAAATATTGTAAAGATATCTTTAGCAAATGTTAATGTCAAAATAACCTGTCATTTTCTTAAATAGTGCCGCCATAATTTTTTTCATGACAATCTAATATAATTTGGAAAAATAACAAATAGCTGCTAGTGGATTAAAGTGCCAACTCTCGCGTAGAAACAAATACAAGAAAAGGCAAATTTTTGACAATATAGACTTTTTGAGCAACATAATTTTTAAAAGCAAGCACAAATAAAAATGTTTTAAAATTGGACGTCCAGTGTATGAATCATATTTCACTTTTAGGTTTGGCCAGAAAATGTCAAATTTCACAAAATAGGAACCTCTGATTCAAGTGACCATAAAAATGGACGGAAGGAGTCTAAATCGGAAGAGGAGATCGACAAGCATTTATCGTATTTAGTTGAATTTGAGGGGCACCCTTGGGATTCCTACAAAGTTTACTCAGAACTCACGCCTTACTTAATACTCACACTGATTCGTGTACTTGACCAAGCCGGTTACAAGTACGAGAGCAGAGCAAACGTCAGAGGACTCTTGGATACCGTTTTCTTTGTCAAACAAGATTCACCGCCTCCAGGTGTTGAAAATATTGCACGAATTTGTTTCTCTCTCTGTCATCAAAATATTCTTCGAGTGTATGGTGGAACGCCAAAGTTTTGTGCATGGATGGGTCAGCTTCTGCAGCAATTGTGGATTTCCGGTGTTTCCAGCAAAAAAGAAGTCTTGATTTCACAGTTACTTTCTAAAAATAATGGCTCAAGTTCCATCAACGATTTGCATTTCACGGAGGTGAAGTTCAATGGGACACCATTTTGTATTCCTGAGTGGAACAAAGACAATTTTTTAGCTGCTCAGTACATGATCGGTCGACTGGTGGGTGTTCTTTCACTGGTTGAATGGAGATTATCAGCATCCATGAATGTCTATACCAGTCCCTACGACAAGAGTCTTCTAATATTTGAAAAGGATCTTGTAAGTAAAAGACAATTTACGAAATTCAAGTCATTTTTAAACATCCGCCATAGTGGAATATTCTTTTTTGTTATGCTCGTTAAACTTTTGGTTGTTTAGAGTAAATGGCATGGATAAAATAATCATAATGCCGAAATTGAACTGTAGAGTCCACAGTCCACACTTAAATCCCTTAAGATCAAGTAATCCTTTGCTGCTCTTATCTTTCTAAAATGCATTTCATAATTTTGGTATTAAATGAATTAGCGATAAATAGCAATCATTAGATGTATTAAATTAAATCATTCTTTTTTAATGCATAAAAGTTGAAATTTGCGGATAAACATTGGAATTTCATTTTATTTTCTGGAAAGAATACGCCTCTGTGATTTTATAAGTACTCTTGTGATCCAATCTTTGGAACGAACCGGTTTCGCTTTAAATATTTTTCGATCTAAAAAAAAGGTGTAAAAGACGAATTCAATAATGCATGAGAACGAAAATTAATTTAGCAATTCTTCAGAAGTATTCTTATGTAAATTTTGAACCTCAGAAGATCATTTCGGGAGTTCATAAATGTCTTCTATTTATTATTTCTATATCTCACCAAAACAATATATTATCTCAGACCAGTGGAATACTAAAATTGATGAAAAATGAGAGGTAGATGAGCGCCAAGTGCTAGACTTATCCGAATATATCTGTTTTCGCAATTTCTTCTTGGCTAAAAATCGTGGAAACTTATATTTAGAAGCAGTTAAATGGGACATTAGATCGGAATTCAAAGTTCTAATAGAGGCAATACCATAACACATTTCTATTATTGAGATCTTCGAAAATCAATGAAAAATGCGTCTAGCCTTAGCTCTATTTAAGAAAATGAGCCAATGGAATTTAAGGTATTTAATAATCACAAGAGAATAAATACGAGAATGACTTTGAAGGAATGAGTTGATTTGTTGAAGTACACTTGTCCTGAATTAATTTTGTTGTCTGCGTGTCCTTTAGTTGGTGTCTTGAGAAGTTATCGATTAAACTGTCAAACTCGATTTCTGTCATTTTATAAATTGTGTAAATCGTGTAAATATAGAGACAAAACATAAACAGTAATACAGTTCAGAGAAAGGAGATCAATTAAAAATTTTAACGACATCATCAGACTTTCAGATAATCACATTTTAGGATTCGGTTTCCGCGATTTCGTCTCTTGAATTAACTATTTTGCCCACTAAAAACTTTCGTAGTGTCTACGTCTTATTAAACAATTGCACAATTTCAATTACCAATCAACCGTGTGGTTGTTGCGCAAGTTTCTTTCCAATTTGAAAGAGCTAATCTGACTTTTACAACAACAGAATTCAATTAATCTTATACACGATGAACTCTTACATTAATATATAAAGTATATAATTCCAGTAAAATTTCATTTGGCTTTGCCCCCTTAATCAAAATACCTGATCACGCTTGTTTATTATAAATGAAAAAGGGAAATAACGAATTTTAAAGTTCAAGAAAAAGAGTCGACATTTAACTCGTAGGTAAATGTCATGATCCACTTACGTTAGCCATAAGTCACTATTTTTTCCCACCTTGAGTAAATTAGAATGAGAGCTGAAATCAAGTTTACTCTCTGATGTCCCATATAAGGCATACCCCACCATTCCCAAGGAGTATTTATATTAGACTGTTAGATTGATGGAAAAATGGAAAATGCTTAGAATGCCAAAAAAAGATAGGCCATTTTTTATTTGCATGGTGTAAGAGACATTTACCGTATGACTCCTTATGTAGTCCGCTGCCGAAAAAGTTGGCTTACCTTCATGCCGACTTCAGGATTTTGCAGTCCCTTGAGCAAGACTTTTGAAATGAGTTTTTGCTTTATTCAAAAGGATAAAAATTAAATAGCATCAAGTCTCTTAAGTGCGCATATGCAAAATCTCTAGATTTTTCCGCGATTTTCCAGAATTAATGACTTAATTGGAGCCCTGCATGCATTTTGAATTCTCTCTTCCACAAATTTGAAAAGAACGACTTTGAAAGGCTAATAGATAATATTTTCGTAAAATTTTACCCCATATTTATTCATTATTACGGCCATTGGAGGTCCAATATGTGTTGAAAATGCGTTCTAAGCCAGCCTATAACGATATCGGGTCAATGAAATTCTACAATCGATAGCACAATTTATTTTACAATCCTTTAGACAAAGCATTAAAACTTTCTATTCATGTAATTTTTCAGATACCCGTATTATATCTTAATGAATAATGGATATAAATTGTATTTAGCTATTTAAAGTTTTATTTATTTATTTTTACATTAGTTCTTAAATTTTTGGAAAAAAAGTTGCGAATGCAGTTACCCAATCGTGATTTATTCTATGTTCTGGTTTATATATCCACAGAAAAATTAGAACAAGTATAAATATTGCTTATCATTTAGGTTTCAAACGATAAGTAATGTTTGAACCCTGGGTTTTAATTGGTCGAAGTGGAGTAGGATCAACATTTTGTATATCCCAAAAGCTTAGCAAGGTGGTTGTTCCGACAATATTCAAGCAATTCAAACAATTCTAGATTCATATCATATTTGTTTTACTTGATTTACATTTTGTAAATAGTTTGCCTTATTTTGATTAAATTTATTTACTTCTTGGCTCATTCACCCGCATGCTTGTCATATACGACAATCGTCGACTTTTTAGATTGCGCGTTACTCTTTATTACAAGATAATTAATCAAAATATTTCTTCGTGAATTTTAGCACATTTCGTTCTTAAATAGAAATTGGTTTCGAATGGTTATGCCATTCAACCTCATTTTACCTCTGAATTAGCCTACATTTAAAGTATAACTTTTATTCCTAGAAAAGTATTTTAATATTGAGAAAGCAGACAAATTTAATGCATGAAAACGTAAAAAATTCTAAACTAGTAAACAATGTTGTCAGAACAACACGAGTCATGACCTTTTTAAATCACGAGCATTGATTCTCAAAATCTTTCAGTGATGAGGAGTATCGCGATTACGATGAATTCTGTTCCAACTTTGTCATTTGAATCTCAGGTACATAAGTGATTTTATTTTTATAAAATTTATTACCAGTCACCAAATATTCCTTCTCACTTTATTTGTTCTTTTTTGAAAGTTCTTGTGCGATATTAATTGATTTCCATTATTTAAAGATAGGAAGGTCATGATATCAGCAGATTAATGTTCCCTATCATTCAGTATATTGAACTTTTTCATTTAATAGGTTTTTTTCATAAAAATTATAAATAGTAATTGAATTTTGGATTGTTTGTCCAAATATTTAAGGGATTTTTACATTGAAATTAAATTTTTCAATGCAAAAGTCGAGATTTAACATTGTTAACGTAACAATTTTATTAAATGATGCAAAGATATTGCCATAGATTACATGCCACGCTAATTAAAAGCTTATTTTGTTGAATGGTATAAAACACAGTTAAAATTTGAGCAAATTGTGGAAAGTTGATTACATCTTTGTCACCAAATTTAATTTCAAATGAATAGTTCAACTAAAACGCTACTTCAGGGAGTTTAATTTGCTTTTAATGCGCATTAGAAGCGAACCAATCGACCGAAATAAAGGCTTTTTATCTTTGATCCGATCTATTTGAATCTTCTCAATAAAGTCACGAGATGGCCATTTCAACCAAGCTCAAAATTTAATCAACTCGGGCTTACACTTTTATTTTACTCAACTGTTTTTTTTTGTATCAAGAACAGTTCTGAACACTGAACAACAAGTCGATTTATCACTTCAGCAATGATAGTCAAACAGACAGAAACTATGAACTTTAACAGAAGCGCTTTGAACACGCTCGATTTAAGAATTTGGCAATGCATATATGTTCGATATGAGCAAGCAGATCGCTAAGAAATATTAAATGTATTTTTAAATATGCATTTTAAACCTTTAATTGAATGGTCAAGTATAAAAATAGGGTGTTGGAAAATATTGAATAATGTCACAAATATTCAATTAGCAAAATTCTGTATTTTTTTCTAGCACAAAATCTCCTCCTGTCAGTTGATAAGAAAAAAATTTTGAATTTCACATTTGCCTTTATTTTATATCATTTATCATCTAATCCTTTGATAACTTTTACGTTTATATCCTTACTTTATACTTTTTATTAAGTTATTGCAAATGCCGTAATTGTTATCAAATCTACCTCCATTTATGCATTCAATTGGGCATAGGTTATAAAACTAAGCACACATAAAATGATGCATTGCGATATGAAGATAAAACTTTTTAAATTGTGTAATTTAAAAGTTATCTTTTCATTATTTTAAATTTATATAACCTGTGCTTTGGCAACAACTTGACTTGATTTACTCCTACATTTTTTTCTCATTTTTAGTTGAATTAATCTCGATTTAGAGGAATGTTAACTAACTTAAAGAATTATTTTTCTGATTTATAAAAGCAAATTTGTTATGATATATTTGAATTATTTAATTGATATGAGATGAAATGCTTAATAATCCTCTTTCAATTCATCATTTTACTTAAAATTCAAATTGTTTTAAAGTAAATTTTAAATTCACGAAATGAATAACAAATACTGATAGTTCATACTATTTCGGATTTTAAAATGCCCTCATTTATTTGATAATAAGAAGCAAAACAATTTATTTTAAATGTAGTTATTTGAAAAAATATAGTTATCAATTTACCCTACTCCCCCCATTAGGGCCACCTCATGAAGTCTCATAGCAGTGCTCTCATTATTTGGAAAGTCAAGCTGTACTCTCACCATAAAGTCTCCTTAAAGAAACTTCCTGCCAAGAGAGGTGTTGTAAAAAAAGCTTTAATAGCTGTAAGCTTAAAGTGGATGCAGTGGAACTTCACGTAAAGTGTATTTGAATAATTTTCATTCAAATAGCTTATGCATCTTTGCCCTTTTACAATCTCCATATTCGGAATGAATTATGTGAATATCGCGGTTGAGTGATAGGCAAGAGAACGTGAACTTTCGTCGTGATTTTAAAGATGCTATTCATCTAATAAATCTAACCATTAACGATTTTCATCACGCTTAAATGATTGGTTATATAATTGTTTTCGTATCTTACAATTCATTTCATTCATATTTGATTCGAATTTATGTCAGTTTTAGGCATCAGCTAGTTATGTCCACATGCATATGCGTTTAATTTAAATTAACCAATTGCTTAAGATTGGGATTTCAAATGATCGTATTATATTGCTTATTTTAAAAATTAAACTGAATGATTAATGAATATCTCATTATTATGCGTTTTAATATTTTATCTTACCCATCTGTCGACTCATTTCGTGTATAAAAATAATTAGATAATAATAAGCACAAGCCATTGATCGTTTCTGCAACATAAATATTATTAAAATATGTCTTCAATACAGATATGGTTATAATTTCTGGTTAAATTTATTTAATTCAAATGCCGGGCTTTATGATACCTATCATTTGCCCTTTAGCTGACTTCGGGCTTCACAGAGAGGAGAAGGAACATCAAAGTGAGAAAAAGTGGAGAGAGGGGGGCAGAAGAGTGATTCAAAGATGAAAAGAATCAGCCAGACACAAATGCAGAGAAAAAGTAGGATAAGTATGGTGGAAGTGATCGAATAAGACATACAATGGGGTCATGGTAGTTTGAAGTGAGAAGCCAACTGCCAGTTAATAGACTTTTTTGCCGTATGAGTATACGTTGCCCAGGGTGCACCACGTGGAGGTAAGTCTATCGCACACCCCGTTTCTGGTTAAGTGAATGCTAGAAAATAACAATCATAAAAATTCGTTGGTTTGCATTTATGTTTATACTTGAATGCTAATTATCTTCCATTTAGAACACCACTGAGGAGGAAATCCTAGTGGATCTGGAAGTAGTGGAGCTGGAAGTGAAATCAGAATCAGACGGCTATGAAGGAAATGTAAAAAACTACGACCTACTTCGACCAATCTGCTTCACTTCGTACGACGTGGACCGCCTGTGTATTTTGGGGGGTTCAAGGCACTTTCTTCTCAATTTTAATGACCTCTTCCTTCGATTGTTTGATAATTCCTGCAGTGCTCATGGCCTGTTCTCTCGCTGTCGGTGTAGAAATAAAGATAATGAAACAAAGAATCACAGTACAGAGTTCCAGGATGCAAACGGAGCGATTTCAGACAACTGGATTGTCTCCCATCAATCCTATACCCCGGAACTACTACATAAGTTATTCCTTGGTTCAGGACATTCTATCCTCTGTCTTCTTTCACCAATCCATGACAATATTGCTCTATCAGCTATAGCAGATTTGGATCCAAGTAATGTTTTAGAATATGCAACAAATTATCAAATGTGGGCTCCCAATATCTGCTGGCCACCTAAAATGTTTCACAAAGCCAAAAAACGGGCGAAAAAGTTTTTCCATATGAGTCAAATCCCTCTAGCAGTCCTTTGTTGGATAAATGAATTCATCAACCAGCTTGGCTCGCCAGAATTTATTAAATCGCAGTCAGACCAAGGTGAAAGAAGTGCTCTAGACGAGGTTGAGGAAGTTACACCTCTCAAACAATCCCTCAAGCAACGTGTTTTAGCCAAGCCCTACAAGAGGGTACTTGTAACGTGTTTGGATTGTGCATCAACAGTCCGTAATGGGCCACCAGCCTGGATATATCTAATCAGAGAACCAAATCAGCAAGTGGTTATGGAAAGCAAAGAGTAGCAGATTTGCAATCAGCATATTTTAAGCTCTTCTTCCCTTGGTGGCATTTATTTGTCTTCTCACGCTTTATAATGCACAATCTTTGCACTGTAAGAAAGAATTTTATTTGAATTTTGACAATTTCTCAAAATTATACCTTTTAAAAAAAGTTGCATATGGCTTTCAATGAACAGATGTGGGGTAGGGGTGGGGATAGGGGTTGGACATTAATAGTCATTGTCTTAGAGGCGTCAACTTAAGGTTTCGCTTTTGAATGTACAAGAAGGTTAAGCAATTTACTCCGATTTTAAATTCTATTTCTGAGTATTATTCTAAAAATGGTGAGAGAAGTGAAAAAACTAGAAGAAATTCTAAATAAGTGTATATTCTGTTTTCCCTCAATTTTCCTGAAACGAAAAGTGTTGCGCAGGATCTTTTTAAACGCTTTAATTGCTGGCATTCTGCATCTTCCTGCTAAAATTATATTTGGAAATTGGAGTGTGCGATAGACTTACCACCACGTGGTGCACCCTGGGCAACGCATACTCATACTACAAAACAAGTCTATATACCGGCAGTTGATTTCTGACTTCAAACTACCATGGCCCGACTGCTTGTCATATTTGACCCCTTTCACTGTACTCATCTCACCTTTTTCCCTACCTTTGTGTCTGTCTGCTTCTTTTACATCTGTGAATCGCTCTTCTGTTTCCTACCCCTCGACTTTCTGCTACTTTGATGAACCTTCCCTCTGTGAAGCCCGAAGTCAACTAAAGGGCTAATGATAACCATCAAAACCCCTACCATTTGATATAAATATTTGGAAACTACGATTCACCGAATAACTGTGAACTATAATTCCTCAATAGCTGATATTGAAAGCGAAAGATATGGTTATTTGTCTACAGCCGGTTCTGTGCTAAAGTTTTTATAGTTGTGATATTTCTCAAAATTAAGGCCAAAATTGTCTGATACGAATACTTTAATCAATTTTGTTAAGTAGATAGTTAAAAAGGGGAGATAAAACAGACACCAAAGAAAAATGAAACTTTAATTTTATCATGGAAATGGCTATCCACCTTCAATGGATTGCAACAAGGTGCTTTCTCACTATTTTTGTGGCTATTANCCCCCCCCCCCTCCTACTATCGAATTTTTGTCACTTTGTCTGATAACTGCCATAAAGACTCCTATTTGATCTGAATGCACTGCTCAAACTTACTGTCGGTTTCGCATCGATAAACAACAAGTACACAACCAGTCAAACACAATAAATCAATAAATCCGATGTACTCATTAACTCTCTTTTCACTTCTGAAGGGTTATTGTATCTTGTGGGCCTTTGAACTAACATTAGTCAGTCAATAAAGTTATTTTAATAGCATCAAGGATACTTTGTTACTAAAGAATGATTGATTTAAGGACCTATGACTTTGAAAGATGTACTTTAACATACTCCCTGGGGGAAGCATGCTACTATACTGACTCATTTAATTATTTATTCCGATTCCAAAAGAGTTGTTTTAAACTTTTAAGCCCCAATTAAAGTAAGCTGATTGCTAGACTAGTCAATGGGAATTTGGAAAATTATTCTTGGTTCATTGATCGCTAAGATGTATGATCCACGGCAACACAGTAAGAGTAGGCTAAGTCGCATTTGTTAGAAGAACAATTTGGGGGTGGCCGGGGGTTTGCATACTAGAATTGATTTGTGGGACTTCAGTCATATCTTGCCGATGTGGCCTCTGCAAGATAACTGACATCTCTATAAGTAAATATTGGCAGGCACACGCACACGAACAGCTAGATTGCATATACATGCAATCATTTGTGGACTTATGGACGGGTATTGATTGGCATCTACTGTCTATAGTAGACACGATCGAATTTGGAGTTAATTAATATTTAACATGGGGAGGGGGGTGGGCTATAGACTAACCTGCACGGGGTGCACCATGAGGAACGTATACTCATACGGAAAAAAGTCTATTAACTGGCAGTTGACTTTTTACTTCAAACTACCATCACCCCACTGTATGTCATATTTGACTATTTTCACAGTACTCACCTCACTTTTTTCTACCTTCGTGTCTGTGTCTTTTACATCTTTGAAACATTCTTCTGTTCCCTTCCCCCCTCTCCCTCTCGACTTTTCTCACTTTGATGTCCCTTCCCCTCTGTGAAGCCTGAAGTCAACTAAAGGGCTAATGATAGCCATCAAAACGCCTGCCATTAGATATAAATTATTTAAAATGGAACTCGATGTGAGAATCATAAATTCTCTTGCCTTCTATTTTCGCTCTTCTCTGCTTCAAATATTTGATCCGGCCCCGTGATCGCAACCAGCTTAAGTTCATGCCCACGTATTTCTGCCATATTACTTATCATCTACATGCCCATACTCTAGGCATTTGTTGTAATTCAAATGGGTTTTCATAAATCATATAATTATGAACAAGCCCTCCCTCTATTTGTCTCATTCGCCTACATTTCTTACTCTCCATTCGATCATTGTGCATCATCCATATAACTCTGTTCTATTTTTTCAAGCCACATACCACTANCTACAAAACAAGTCTATATACCGGCAGTTGATTTCTGACTTCAAACTACCATGGCCCGACTGCTTGTCATATGATCCCTTTCACTGTACTCATCTCACCTTTTTCCCTACCTTTGTGTCTGTCTGCTTCTTTTACATCTGTGAATCGCTCTTCTGTTTCCTACCCCTCGACTTTCTGCTACTTTGATGAACCTTCCCTCTGTGAAGCCCGAAGTCAACTAAAGGGCTAATGATAACCATCAAAACCCCTACCATTTGATATAAATATTTGGAAACTACGATTCACCGAATAACTGTGAACTATAATTCCTCAATAGCTGATATTGAAAGCGAAAGATATGGTTATTTGTCTACAGCCGGTTCTGTGCTAAAGTTTTTATAGTTGTGATATTTCTCAAAATTAAGGCCAAAATTGTCTGATACGAATACTTTAATCAATTTTGTTAAGTAGATAGTNCTTCGTGTCTGTGTCTTTTACATCTTTGAAACATTCTTCTGTTCCCTTCCCCCCTCTCCCTCTCGACTTTTCTCACTTTGATGTCCCTTCCCCTCTGTGAAGCCCGAAGTCAACTAAAGGGCTAATGATAACCATCAAAACCCCTACCATTTGATATAAATATTTGGAAACTACGATTCACCGAATAACTGTGAACTATAATTCCTCAATAGCTGATATTGAAAGCGAAAGATATGGTTATTTGTCTACAGCCGGTTCTGTGCTAAAGTTTTTATAGTTGTGATATTTCTCAAAATTAAGGCCAAAATTGTCTGATACGAATACTTTAATCAATTTTGTTAAGTAGATAGTTAAAAAGGGGAGATAAAACAGACACCAAAGAAAAATGAAACTTTAATTTTATCATGGAAATGGCTATCCACCTTCAATGGATTGCAACAAGGTGCTTTCTCACTATTTTTGTGGCTATTACAAGTTTGCTTGATGATTTAGACCATTTCAAAGGAGAAGTAACGCAGTTTTTATTGGTGATCAGCCATTCTTTGTCAATATTTCTAAGTTCGAGTGCATTGTAACCTTGTTTTTGATAATACAAAATGTATTTTCAAATAGGCTAACCCATAGTAATAGATTATTAAGGAAAAATGTTAAGTGAAAATACATCAGAAATGTTAAGATTAGGGATTTGATAAATTTTTAGCTAAAGGGGTCTTCGTTCACGAATTACTTCGGGAAAGCTGTTAGCTGGTGGAACTTAATTCTTCTCTAACAGCTGTTTCAGAGATATCTCCGACAGCCTACCTTACCTGCAGTTGACAATGCTTTAAACATTCGTGAGAAATATTATATTGTACTTACTTCTAATATTTGGCTATTTATTCAATGACATCATTTTTGGATATAAAACTTTTGCAAAGTAGATATATTTATTTGCTCCAATTTCAATGAACCTTAATTTGACTCGATCAAAATTGCAGATAAATGTGCTACTGCAATCAGCCTGATGATACCGAGACCGTTATTTTTATTTTTTGTGTAAATATTGTTACATTTTTGACGATTTTAAAATATTTGCGAATTTAGTCCAATTAGATTTTCAATTAATAAAATTACGGCTACAAAACAGACAAAATAGATATGCAAAAGCGATGTACCATGGGTTTTGGAACATTTGAAAAGGTCTTCTAGAAGAGAAATAGTTGAAATCGATGCATTTAAACAAAATATCACAATATTGACGCTTGTTATCTAGCTAAACTAATAACAGATATGCAGAAATGGGATAAATCAAATTGTCCCTTTCTTCTTAAAAAAACTATAAACCTTAAGGCTAGGCACGCTTCTTTTGGGTAGTTAATTACATAAAAACGGGGTGTGCGATAGACTTACCTCCACGTAGTACACCCTGGGCAACGTATTCTCATACGGCAAAAGAGTCTATTAACCAGCAGTTGACTTCTGCCTTCAAACTACCATGACATGACTGTATGACATATTCGACTCCTTTCACAGTACTCAACTCACCTTTTCCTCTACCATTGTCTGTCTCTTTTACATCTGTGAATCACTTTTCCATTCCTCTTTCGACTTTTTTCTCACTTTAATGTCCCTCTTCCTCTCTCTGTTAAGCCCGAAATCAGTTGAAGGGCTAATGATAACTATCAAAACGCCTGCCACTTGAAAAAAAATTGCATGAAAACCTCATGAAAAAACGGACAAATATTAACATAGAAACTGGTAATTTTGTCAAATCGAGAAGAATAGTAAGGTCTGAAAGGCTTGTGGAAATTTCTAACTCTGTAATTGGGGTGAAGCTGTTGCAGGAACATTAGTTTGAACACAGCACTATTAGAACATAAGTCGGATGAATGATTGCATTTCCTTCTTACTTATGAAAGTAATTTGTAGCCTTCTTTTTGAGGTTGGGATTAAGGAATAATTGTGCAACGCTTTGCTGCCACTACCAAAGTGGTTGTGATGATGATGATGCTAAGGAATTGA